AGTAAAGGTGTTGGGCTATGGCCTTTGATGTAGAAATTTAACCCATGTAAGCATGTTCGATAAAGAAACGTGGTCAATTCAAGCAGAGTTATGCATGATATCTGTTCATGCAACCAAAACCAAACAAAATAAAGCACAGCAAAGCCAGCTGAGGTTATGATAGAGCTCCGGGTTGGCAGGTGTTGGCACTGTACCAAACTACATTGATCTCTCTTTCCAATAGGCAAGGACTATTTACAGGTGAGCACTGTGCTCTTACAATAGAGATGCAAATCCACACCTTCTGTTAACCATTAACCACTGTTCGCAGCAATATTTCAGACTATTCTGAATCAAAAAACAAGGGCAATGATTCGGTGCACTTACCTTTTGGGTTTGCTCTTTAGTTGTTCAAAACATGTAAGACAGAAACCTGAAGGATGGAATCAGCACTGAGTGGCCTTCACAAGATTGTTTCTTCTTCCTCTTCATGATTCCTTTAAGGAAAGATCTGACTCTGAATCTATTCATGAGGGAAAAGAAGCTCAAAGGAATTTGAAGATTTCTGAACTGCCATAGATTTACTTTTATGACAGATACGATGTTTAGGGTAGTTCTAGTGGCTCAAGCCTGTTGTGGTCCTGAGGAACAGTGAGTCGTTCATTCATTCTCACATGATAGAAGGGGCTGTTTGGCATCCTCATCCATCTCTTTTCCAGCTCTTTCTGGTTATGATGACATAAGACTGTTTCTCTGAAGGAGACTGGTATAGAAGATGTGGTTCTTGATCTCTTAGGTCAGGGGATAAGACACAACATGACTGTCATTAACACACACACACCACAGCAAATCTTACTGAATTTCAAATGACACAACTTATCCCTGAGCATAGGAGATGTTCTTGGTTGTTTGTGATTTTCTTTACTTTGATAGTTAATTAAAGTGTGTTAAGTTGTTAAGAAGCCAGAAATATAAGGGGACAAGTTAAAGCACTGGTTTCTTCCACACCCATCACCCCTTGCATGCTTCCCCACAAGAGATGTTGCTGTAATCACAGATTTGATTAGTTCTCCCCAGCAAATGCGGCAGAAAATAGTGGACTATAATTGATTAATCAAATCAGGATAGGTACTAATCACCAATTCCTATTTTAATACCACTCCTTTTCCTCTGACAAGGTACATGCTGTCTCACTGGCTTGTTAAATAATAATTTTACATTTCAATGAGTAAAACATAGCAGTGTACATTGCAGTGAATACATGAGGTTTGTTATACATTGCTACATTTTTCCAATGCAGTTTCAATCAAATGAACTTTATCCAAATTTTAACAGGTTTTCTTACTTCTAGATTTTCTTCCTTCTGTATACCGACTCAATGTTGATTTTCTTGTATATTACTCTGCATTCTTTTAGCTGCAGTAATGGCTGGAAACCAACTTAGTGTGACTTGAGGTCTAGAGAAATATCTTGGCTCATATCACAGGGAAGCTCAAGTGTAGAACTGGAACTTAAGCCTCACATGGTATAATCAAGGCATTGACATTCTTCAGGTGGCAGCTTGGTTTTCCTTTGGGCCAAGTGTCATTCTCAGACAAGCTGTGCCATCATTGATGGGAACCAGAGCTTCAAACTGTTTCACAACATCAGGGGAACAAGAGACTCTTTCTAGCAAAATTCCAGGATTGACTTTCATTGCTCTAGCCAAGAAAACTAATAACGGCTGTAACCAGGAATGGACTGTTCTGATTGGCCAGGCTGATGTGTTCATCAGCTGGGGTTAGATGGTGGTTAGGAGTTACCAACAAGGAAAATTAATACATAATTTCAAGAGAAAGATAGAATAGATACTCAGCAGAACATTGTAGCAAATGTCCACTTTCCTCCAGAGCTCCCTTGTGCCCGTGGGAGGAAGTGTGATATATGTGGTGACAAGAATTACTCAAGATAAAGTGTGAGCTTTGGAATTCACAGCCCTGGATCCTATCAGTGGACTAGCTGTGTGACTTTAACAAGTCAGTTAACCTCTCTGACCCTATTTTCCTCATCTATAAACTAGAAATAAAGACTCAGAGGTTGGAAGAGGAGGAAAATGACAATGTCTGGCAAATACTACCACTTAGCAAAGAGCAACTAGTTTAAAATGGAATGGTCTTGGTTATTTTTTAATTATAATATTGTACTCTGAGTTGTTACATATTGCCTCCCAGTGGGAAAGTCATAAACTCCCAAGCCTCTGTTTCCTCATGGGAAAAACTAACTCCTCAGTTGACTCAACAGAGTTTTATGACAAGAATACAGTATGCCTGTCATTTTTCTAGGCACTAAGGACATAACAGTGATCAAGACAATGTTCTGCACTTTCTTGAAGCATGTGTGTTAGTGAGGGAGACAGGTGAAAAATAACAAAGCAGTTGATTAGACACAATGTATGTTCTAGGATGAAATATTAGAACAAATGAAGAGAATAGAAAGATTTAGAAATGGGGGTCTGAGATTTCACTTGGTGGTGAAGAGAATGCCTTTCTCAGGAAGTGATAGCTGAACAGCATCCACAAAGAAGTGAGAGAGGGATCTTTGAGTAGCATTCCAGGGAGAGGAGACAGGTGAAAAGGTCCTGAGATAAGAGTCTGCTTGGTGGTCAAGGAAAGCAGCAACACCAGTGAGCTGGTGGGTAGTGAGGAGAGGAACATGACTGAGGCTCAGTTTGCAGAGGAGTTGGCCCAGATCTTGGGGACTGGTGGGCTAGAATGACAAGTTTGGAGTGTGCAGAAGGCCACCGGAACCTTATGCTGAGAAGAAATGGTCTGACATCTTTTTAAAATACCAGTCTGGCTACTGAGGGGTGAAGGGATGATAATGAGCAAGCAGGAGACCTGTGAGGAGATGTGGCAGTATCCCAGGTACAAAAGATGGTGGCATGGACCAAGGTGTGTGGTTCTGGAGATGATGAGAAAGGTGGAATTAAGGAATCATTTTCAAGTGAGAGAGAATGTCCATGCTGATGGTTTGGTAGAAGGCCTTGAGGAAAAGATGTGTTTTCGTCCAAGTAACTAGATAAATGTAATAAATGGGAGCCATTGAGTCTTCAATGAATAGAGCATATTCCAAACCACGGATGTGATCACCTCAGGAATGATTTTAGAGAAGGAAAGAACCCGTATCACTTCAAGTCAGACGTTTGTACTTGTGTATTTCAAATAAAATGTTATTCTTAATTCAGAACACAAGATAGAAGTTATTTAGTCAGAATTTTTGCTACCATGACTAAAAGATATGACAAAGAACAATTAGAGGAGGAAAAGTTTATTTTGGTGCTCAGTTTCATAGGTCTCAATCTATAGATGGTGGGCTCCATTCTTCAGGACCCTAGGTGAGGCAGGACATCATGGTGGAAGAGTTTATGAAGGAAAGCAGCTCAAGACATCACACCAGGAAATAGGGGTGGGGGTGGAATAGGGGTGGGGTGGAGGGAGCACAAGAGAGCTCCCCTCACAGAAAAAAATACAAACCCAAGGGTGTGTCCTGACCCACCTCCTCCAGACACACCCTAGAGTTACCACTCAGCTAATCCCTATCAGGGGATTAATTCACTGATTAGATTAAGGCTCTCATAATGAAATCACTTCACCTCTAATCCTTGTATTTTCTCACACATGAGTTTCGGGGGACACCTCACATGTAAACCATAGCAGAAGTGGACATCAGTACTTTGTCTGAGTGGGGTGCCCAGAGTCCTAAAGGCTGAGCCTTTAACTCACCTGCCACAACTGCAGAAATGCCCAAAGGAGCTCATTTTAGTCTTAGAGACTCTTAAAAACAAACACCGAAAAACATGGAGCATCCCCTGTGTCCTTTCCAGCTCTATTACTTGGCTTTTTTCTTCCTGGCTGCTAACATCAAGGGTTTGTTCCTCCCTGGCCAAGGGATCTAATGGCTCAGGCTGAGGTTCATGGTTCTTTTATGTGGTAGATAAACAGATTTTGAGTTTCTTCTTGGTAATACTCAATTAGCAAACAAGTTGATAGAATTATAGCATATCAGAGCTGCAAGTAAACCCAGAGATTATCTCTTTCAATCTCTTCCATTTACTGGGAGGTGCAAGATGATGCTCAGAAGGAAAAAAGGACCTGTTCAGGGTGACCCTGGAACACACAGCTGGGCTCTGCCTCTGCATTCTCTACATTCATAGAATGTCATAGAACAAATGCGATAGAAGATGTAACAATTCTTTTGGAAACAAAAACAATACAAAACACCCCCCCCCATAGTTCGTTAAGAGCACTCATTTTGTTGAGATTAGTGAGTGCTCACATAGTAAGGGGTGTAAGATTTCTTGAAGGTCTATGCCACAGGAAGTTTCAGTAATTTGAAAGTTAATTTTCCTCTAACTGGGATTTCTTGGTCTGTGTTTCCTGGATTCCTGGGTTCAGGGAACATGGGCTCCCTCTTCAGGGTGTATGTATGTGCATGCATGCATGTTGTTTTTCTGGGCAGAGAGTTCTCAGTAGTTTATTAAATTATCAAATAAATCTGTAATGACCTACCCTCAGAAAAAGAGCTATTTTTAAAAACAAACCCGAAATTCCTCACAAGAAACAAACTAACTGTAGTACATTTTAGGCAATAGTACATTTTAGGCAATGTACTGTCTTAATCATGATAATGTAGTTACCTACCTAAACTAGCCAGTGTCCTTATGCAGATCATGGAAATAAGCTATGGTTCTAGAAAGAACAAAAAATAACAAATACAATAACCCAAGGTAAAAATAAGTGCCCTTAAGTTTTAATCAGCAGGAGATCAGAACAATATGAATAAACTGTTTGCAACACTCAGCTGTACTATACCTCAAGATGCCAACAGTTCTTTGTTATAGTACTATTTATTAAATATATCTATGAAGCAAAAATCTTAATAAATAGGAAGCAATGTTTTTTTGGCATTTTTCCTTTATCAAAGACTTTCATTTTCCTCTGTTGCTTTCTCGTTTAATGTCTTTTTATTCCCCATTTCAGGACCCTGTGGGCACTGAAATCCAGCTCACTCATGCTTATTTCCTGTAATGGACAAACTTGATGCTAATGTGAGGTATGTTACATTTCTATATATATTGTGCTGTAAATTGTGGACTTTTGTTCAAGAAAGTCTCTGAAAAAATCTGTTTCACTAGAGTTAAAAGCTAATGGAAGTAGATTTTCTTTGATGTTTTATACATAACCATAAGTATGGTGCTGATTGATTATTAGTGTTTTACTGCATAAATGATAAGTGTAACATGACTGTAAATGTTTTTAACTGCTTGTACTAAAAGTCTGCATATAGAGGTGCCATCTGAAAATAGATATTCATTTCTGTAAGAGGAAGAACAATGTATTTAATTTGGGGAAAGAATATCTATCTGTGCATTTAAATTTTAGATATTCACTATAGGTTCTAGTATGTCCACTTCTTTTTTCAAGCAAAGCATGAGTTTAGGTGATATGGTTATGTGACATCAGTTGGTTTCATGGTATAGTTACATAAAACTAAATGAATTTTGTTTCATTTTTTTCCTGTGATTTCCTTCAAACCTTGGAGATGAAATAATAGGGTAATTCTCAGGGAAGTATCTCTTAAAGATTTGCTCCATTTTATTTGGCATAACCAAATAGTGCAACGAAAATTGTTTTCAGTAAGGCTTAAATGGCATGTCTTTTATAGGACTTTAGGCTGAAGATTATCTCTAGAAATCAGTAGCTGGAAGACATCCTAAAAAACACATTCCTTGTGAAATTCACAGAAGCCATTATATTTCACTTGAGACTTTTGGGAAAGTATGTTTCAGGTATAAACCAGGAGCCCTGTGCCTCTGGTGTAATGTAGTAGAAAGCTGTGACAAAAGGGAGCTGTCAAATATCTTGATAGAAACGCTAGTGTAATATGACTTGTGTTGGAAAGATGTACTACCACCCTACTAGGGAATTACCTGAGGGTGGAATGTGTCTCACAATGCTGTGTATAATCCCTGGCACATGGTGTGTATTTCATAAAGAGATGTTGATCAGCTCATCATTGATGTACTACTATACATTTCAAATAGGGTTGTGTTCTAGCACACCCACATATTTTTTTTTAAACTGTACATTTAGCATTACAACATTTTAAATTCTTCAAGAGAAAGCATTGTGGATTTCTTTATTTACCCAATATCCTAACTTGGTGCAGAGTTTTAGAACCTTAAAATAGACTTTTAAGCAAGTAGCATGTGTTTATTTTTTCTCTCAAAATTTGTGAAATGATTTGCACAGAGAAAAGCATGGTGGAATCCAGAGAATCTCAATTTTACTTTTGTTAATTCAAAGGCCATGATGAATGGTATCAATGGTAATACGTTATTAAATTATTTTAAGTTCCAGACACTGTATCAAACTGGATTAGTTGATTAAAAAGTACTTTTGAGGGGAATAATTCAGATATTACAATCCCTTACATTGCTAGCTTCTAAACATTTATTTATTATAACACTAGATTCTAATGGTAGACTACAATTTGATTAAATGAGCCTTTCTCTTGGGATACTGGAATAATAGCGTGGGATACATGATGATATCACACCCCAGAATCTTGTCTCTGGACCATCCTCTCTGTCAGTTTTTTGACTGGATCCTGTCAGCATATGTTCATCTTCAACCACTCCTCCTCTCTACCCACAATATTACTAACAGGCAAATGTCACAGGCACTCCACTCATTTCCTCTTCAGAACAAACCTTGAGTGTCCATGGAGAAGGATGTGGTGGCTCACATTTACCAGATTGTGGTGCACGTATCAATAGAAACACACAGTGAGATTCAGTGGTACACCCATGACATTTTTATTTCAAAATTAAACACTTTTTTTATCATGGAGAAAAATTCTATTTTATGATGTATAGGAGTAAAATAAAATTCTCTTTTAATGTACATTTATTTAAAATTTAAGTCAGTTTATTTTAAAAATGTGATTTAAAAATATTTGTTAATAAATGAATGTGGAAAAATCATATTGACTTTAGGCAAATGACTTATCTAGAAGCTGATGTTGTAGGCTAAACTAGATAGAGTAAATTTCATCATTTCAAGAGCAGGAAAAATGCCTATGCAATAAAGTGAGAGTTGAAAGGCCCAGTTCCCCAGCACAGGAGAGGAGTCCTAATCCTTGCTCTGAAGACAGAGGAAACTAAATGAACAAAGGAGGGAGAAGTTTGGAGAAGAAGGAAAATTCAGAGGAGAGTCTGGGCTGTGCTTGGCAAGGGGCAAAACAACCAATGGCATAGTGAATATAAGGGACTTTGAGAGTAGTTAGGGAATATATATATATATATATATATATATATATATATATATATATTTCAGAATGTGTACACACCTCTCCCAGAACCCAGTCCTTCAGCAAAATTTTCTATCCTGACGGTGAATTGGGTGTTACATGTTTACCATGCTGAATGTTCGAGGGCATTGTAAGCTATGAAGTTGACTTATATTATCCCATTTGATTTTTAAAACACTCTTGTGAAGCACATAGCATTATTATATTGCCACAGTGTGTGGCAACCCAGACAGGCTCTAAAACAGGGACACTCCAATTTTTCTCAGGTATCAAGGGGTCGAAAAGTCCTGGTGGACATTTAGATCTAAAGAAAATGTCTTTCTTTTATGAATTGTGTCAGGCCATACTGACCAGTCCATTTTTTTTGTTTTGTTTTGTTTTGTTTTTTGGCTTAATTTAATTGAGTTTGCTTATTCAGCTAGATCCTTGCTATTATGTCTCTGTCAGCTTCATGATAGAAGCATCAGAAACTGACTCTAACATAATCAAAGTTAAGTATGAGAAGGGGAGCCACCATGTACCGGCTCAGATGATTAAGGTGAACAATGTTGGAGGACCATGTTTAGAAATAAACAAGGACTGAATGTTTTCTCTGATGAGCAGATGCTGATCCATTGTGGGGTGGGTGGATAGGAAAGAATGAAGGAACTTTGGTTTGTGTAGAGGAGAGTGAGGGGAGGGGTGGGGTTGTGGGGATGGGAAGGACGGTAGAAAGAGACAGATATTATTACCCTAGGTACATGATTACACTACTGGAGTAACTCTGAACCATGTACAGCCAGAGGACTGAGAAATTGTGCTGCATTTGTGTACTATATGTCAAAATGCTTTCTACTATAAAATGAATAAATTAATTAATTAAAAAGGAAAGAAAGAAACAAGGACTTTGGGAGTTCCTGGAGACCTACGAAGCAGAGTAGTGGCCAAGTTCAGGAAGAAGCAGTCAGTCAGATAAACACTTTTATCATTTATTTAAAATGTATTCATTAAATACTGAACGATGTGCCAAGACTAGTCATATAAGTTTCTGCTCTTCAGATTCTCACATCTAGCTAGAAGACAATCACCCAAGCAGAGATCTAATTCAATGATGGAAGTGCCTCCCTAGTGAGATGTGCAATGAGCTGTGTTTTTTGAGAGCTAAGAGTAACAAAAAGAAATACTTGGTTTTAGAAATAAAAGACAATATAAGTATTTTCCTCCTGAGGGCCTCCATTGTAGGAGAGCCTGGATATCTGATGGCCTGACTCAGGATGAACATGAGTCAGGCCCTAGCTGGAGAGGTAAGTTCCTGACCAGTCCCATTCTTTGATAAATAGTGTCTCACAAGCTTAGCAGTTAGTAAGCAACTCTTAGACAATCTGACTCCCACCTGATCATTTTATCAGTCTGTTTGCTCCTTGCTGGGGCTTCAGAGGAGACAGCTGCATTTCTTTTTGAAAGGTTGAAGAAAGGAAAAGGGAAACCATGGCTTTGGTGATTTCTGCAGTTACTACTTTTTGTAGAACTCTTTATTGGCTTGAACTTGGGGAATAAGCTTGCTGGTGCCTCTCCCGTCCCCTGTGCTATCCCTAAGCCTGCGAAGCCACTTTGTATCGTAGTTCTAAAATCTTTCCTAACCTCAGAGATAGTTCACACTCTCTGTTTGTTTAGTTACCAGACTCTTCCACTGACATGTGATCCCCAAAGCATTCCAGGTTCTGTCCTTTTCTTCTTACCATTTATTATAACTATTTTCTAAGATTTTTTTAAATAGGGAGCCTACATCCTGGGAACAAATTTTTACTCCTCACACTTCAGATAGAACCCTAATATCCAGAGTATACAAAGAACTCAAAAAATTAGACAATAAGATAACAAATAACCCAATCAACAAATGGGCCAAGGACCTGAACAGACACTTCTCAGAGGAGGACATACAATCAATCAACAAGTACATGAAAAAATGCTCACCATCTCTAGCAGTCAGAGAAATGCAAATCAAAACCACCCTAAGATACCATCTCACTCCAGTAAGATTGGCAGCCATTATGAAGTCAAACAACAACAAGTGCTGGCGAGGATGTGGGGAAAAGGGTACACTTGTACATTGCTGGTGGGACTGCAAATTGGTGCGGCCAATTTGGAAAGCAGTATGGAGATTCCTTGGAAAGCTGAGAATGGAACCACCATTTGACCCAGCTATTCCCCTTCTTGGACTATTCCCTAAAGACCTTAAAAGAGTGTACTATAGGGATACTGCTACATCGATGTTCATAGCAGCACAATTCACAATAGTTAGACTGTGGAACCAACCTAGATGCCCTTCAATAGATGAATTGATAAAAAACAAATGTGGCATTTGTACACAATGGAGTACTACTCAGCACTAAAAAATGACAAAATCATGGCATTTGCAGGGAAATGGATGGCACTAGAGCAGATTATGCTAAGTGAAGCTAGCCAATCCCTAAAAAACAAATGCCAAATGTCATCTTTGATATAAGGAGAACAACTAAGAACAGAGCAGGGAGAAAGAGCATGGGAAGAAGATCACCATTAAACAGGGACGAGAGATGGGAGGGAAAGGGAGAGAGAAGGGAAATTGCATGGTAAAGGAAGGAGACCCTCATTGTTATACAAAATTACATATAAGAGGAAGTGAGGGGGAAAGGAAAAAAAATAAAGAGAGAGAAATGAATTACAGTAGATGGGGTAGAGAGAGAAGATGGGAGGGGAGGGGAGGGGAGGGGGGATAGTAG